CAATTTCCACACAACTTGATCAATGATAAATTAGTTATATTTATTTAAAATTGTGTCAATATTATCATTGTGTTCTGGCTGTTCTATCACAATATAATTTTTTATAGCTTTTATTATGAGTTGAGTGATAGTTTACATGGGAGAATATCAGTTTTGCACTCATCCTATTGTGTTTTGTTTCACTGCAATGATTACAATCCCCTCCACGCATCATCATTCAAGAGTATTTGCTTCCATTCCTTCTTTCTCTTTCTCTCTCTATTTTGATGTAAGCAAAACCACTCAGGAATATATAATCATTTAAACAAGCTAGGGGCACATTCTGCAAGTCTGCTTCCTAGCTGCCAGCACACAGCCTTTTTCTTTCCAAGATTCTAGAGTACTCAGCTGCTGTATCTCTCCATGTCCTCATCTCTGCCTCCAGCTCTGATGTCGCTTCTTCTCTGGTTAGGGTCCCATATTCCATTAGTGCTCTTCTCCCTTGATGGTCCTAGCGTTCTCTGTTCCTGGAATATAAGATTAACTACTCCCCTCTTGTTACAAAACTTCTACCTTTACAGTTGTGACAGTTGCAATTAGTCATGATAACAATTACTCACGATTGAATCATAAGAATCTTATCCTCATCTTCTTTCATCTACCTACCACTCTTGCAATTAAAATCATTTTTTTCCCCTGGAGTACACCCCTCATGGATTGCATAGCATAACTGAACTTTCTGCAATCTTCAATATGTTCTCACACTCAATTTTTTCTTGATCAGGGATAGAATTTTCCATCCGAACTAATTTTACCTTACAATTTTGCAAGTATTATCTCTTGGTGTCTAACATACATTTTGAGAAGTACAAGATAACATTTGTTGTCTTAAATGCTCTGAAATGCCTTGTTGATGTGGCTACATGTGGCTCTTTACCATATATTTTGCTCTCCACTATGTGAGCCCTAATAATCTGAAGACTTCTGTTACTCTTCAGGCCTTTGAAACTTTTTGTTTCTTTGATAATTTCCTTCCTTTTCTCTGGAATTCCTATTAATCATATGATGGACTATCTCAGTTACCTAATGCTGTCATAACAAGAACAACAGTAAATACCACAAATGGGTGGTGAATGTATATTCTCACAATTCTGGAGGCTGAAAGTTCAAATCAGGGTCTGAGCTGTATCAATTCCTTCTGTGGGCCTGTATTCTAATTTCTGATATCTGCGTGTCAGCAATCCTTGGTTCCTTTGTTTATAGAGGTGTCCTCCCAGGGTGTCAGTCTTCCTCTGTGTGCATGTGTCTACTCTAAGACCCATTTAGAAGAGTTTAGATTGAGACCTTTCCTACACTATATGACCTCATTAACACAGCAAGAGAAAACCTGTTTCCAAACAGGGTCATATTTACAAGTACATGGATTAGAACTTCAACATAACTTTTTGGAGACTCAATTCAAACCATAACATAGTCGTACTAAATAAGTACTCCATGCTTTAAGGAGAGAAAAAAAGAGCCATCCGTTTGTCTAAAGGGCTTATTTTGGGGGAGGATTTATCATTTCAACCATCTCACCATTAAAATTTTAGTATCTGCAAACACATACGTAAAGTCTTTACTCTATGAATGTGTATTTTTTTCAGAGTATATGGCTGTCTTATGTAATATTTTCCTGAATACCTCTAAGGGAGATTGTTATTGTGAATCTTATTAAAAAACAAAACAAACAAACAAAAAAAACATGTTTTTTTTTTTTTTTTCGTTCTTCATTGAGTCACACTAGGATAATTGTTTTCTTTCACTTTATATTTCATCCTGTTTTTTTCTTCATTTCAGTTATGATTTTGATTCCTTATTTATTTATTTTTAAGGAGCTCTGGTAGCTTCATGGATTATCAACTGGGCTGTTAACCACAAGGTTAGCAGTTCGAATCTACTAGCTGCTCCTCAAGAGAAAGATTAGGCTTTCTGCCCCATAAAGAGTTACAGCCTCAGAAACACTATATAGGGTCACTATGAGTCTGAACCAATCAACTCCATGGCACATAACCACCACCACCACTAATCATTTTTAAGAATGAGATTCTGGATCGAAGTAAAAAGAAAAAACGGCAACAACAAAAAACACTTAGGAGGGGAATCTGGGGGACATGAAGTGCAATGGTTTCCTGAAGTTTAGTTTAAAAACTGACCTCATGTACTTAGCCCCCTTCTCCTACTGTATCAGAGAGCTCTAAGCCTGAGGTCTCTCTGGGACTCTATAATGCAGATCAACTCTCTGAAGCTTTAGTCATATCTTGCATATTCTGGGATAGCATTTAACAATCTGTTTCTTTTCATTGGTCATAGGCCTTTCTTAAAATTTTTATTTAATCTTTATTTCTTGAAATATTTAGTCTGCTAAAGGCCCCTCTCTAGGTCACTTCTGTATTACAAACTAATTTTAAACATATAATTTAAGTTGGAAATTATATAATATGTACATGAAAGCTTTTTACATTTGTTTTTGCTCTATTGGCTGTACTTTATATTATGCATTATTTGTATTATCCTGTTGTCATGGACGTGATTCCAACTCATAGTAACTCTATAGGACAGGGTAAGAATTCCAAGACTATAATAAATCTTAACAGAAGCAGAGTATCACATCTTCCTTTGTGGAGTGGGTTTGAACCAATGACCTTTCAGTTAGCAGCTGAACTAATAAGTACTGTGTTCCTCCCTTGTTATGATGATGTTTCTAAATTTATCTCCTCTCTTCCCTAACCCCACCTTCTCTTTTGGGTCTTTCATTCACATTTTTGAGTTTTACAGCTTAGTTCAGGATTTTTCAGAGCAAGATTCTATGAAATGCATAGAATATTATGCACCAGACATTGTATGTGTTGTTAGCTGCCATTGACTTTGCCCTCAACTCCTAGGGACCTCATGCACAACAGAATCTGGTCATTGTGACCCATAGCGTTTTCATTGGTTGAGATTTTAGAAGTAGATCATCAGGTCTTTCTTCCTATTCTTAGTTGGCAGAAACCTATTCAGAATCATAACAACACACATGCCCCCCACAAATAGACTGCACTTCAAGTGCATTGGCCAGGAATCTAACCTAGCCTCTCTGTGAAAGACAAGAGGTCTATTACTGAGTTACCATAGTCCTCAAACAGTGTCAAGGTGCTAGTGTTATTAGGTGCCATTGATTTAATTCTGACTCATAATGACACCATGTATAACAGAACAAAACACTGCCTGGTTCTGTGCCATCCTCATAATTGTTATATTTAAACCCATTGTTGCAACCAGGGTGTCCATCTTATTGAGAGTCTTCCTTTTCTTCCCTGACCATGTACTTTACCAAGTATGATATCCTCTTCAGGAACTGGTTCCTCTTGATAACATGTCCAAAGTACATGAGACAAACTCTCATCATCCTCACTTTTAAAGAGCATTCTGGCTGTTATTTTCTCCAAGACAGATTTGTTTTCTCTTTTGGCAGTCCATGGTACTTTTAATATTCTTTGTCATCACCATAATTCAAATGCATCATTTTTTCCCTGATCTTCCTTATTTATTGTCCAGCATTCAGATGCATTGTTGTTGTTGTTAAGTGCCATCGAGTCGGGTCCGACCCATAGCGACCCTGTACAGGGTTTCCGAGGGTGTAAATCTTTACGGGAGTAGAAAGCCTCATCTTTCTCCCGCGGAGCGGCTGGTAGTTTCGAACCGCTGACCCTAAGGTTCGCAGCCCGATTCGTAACCACTACCCTACGCATAGGTGATGGAAAACACCAAGGCTGAGGTCAAGTTTACCTAGGTCCCCAAAGTCACACAGTTGCTCTTGAACAGTCAAAGAGGTCTTTTGCAGATTTGTCGAATGCGGTCTAAGTTATTTGATTTCTTGACTGTTGCTTCCATGTGCGTTGACTCCAAGTAAAATGAAACCCTTGACAATTCTATTCTTTTTTGTTGTTTACCATGATTTCTGGTAGCGTAGTGGTTACGAATCAGGCTGCTAACCTCAAGGACGGCAGTTTGAAACTACCAGCTGTTCCGCGGGGGAAAGATGAGGTATTCTGCTCCCGTAAAGATTTACAATCTCGGAAACCCTGTGCAGGGTCACTATGAGTCGGAACCGACTCCACGGTACTTAACAACAACAACTATGATTTGGTTATTAGTCCAGTTGTAAGATGGCCATACTTCGTCTCTCATACTTTGGACAGTCGCTAGAGAGGGATATCATGCTTGGTAAGGTGGAGGGTCAGAGAAAAAGAGGAAGACCCCCAACAAGATGGATGGATTGGCCAGGTGGCAGCATGCATGGACTCAAGTGTGGCAGCGGTGGTGAGGTTGGCTCAGGATCCGACATTGTTTCCTTCTGCTGTGCATGGGGTCGCTATGCGTCGGTTCCAACTCGATGGCACCTAACAAAAACAACAACGCTACCAGAGCTCCTTGGAATCATTATATAGGTTAGGGAATTTAGTAGGTTTCAAACAAAGTCCCAAACAACTTGGGCTATTAAAAATTTTATGATACAATAAGGCCAGATTATGCAGACATCGTCACCCAGCTGCTTTCTGCATCTAGCTGAGGGCTAGCTTGCTGCGTGACTCCTTCCCAGCTGCCTAGTTTCCAGATACCTACTAACCAAGAGAGCAGCCCTCTCGCCCCAAAGTAGGGTCGGCAACTAGGCACTCGAAAAACCACCACGATGCATAGATCCCGGCCCCGCAAAGGATTTCGGGATAAATCATCTGGCCAATCTAAAAGGGTCTAGGAGCAGCCATAGTCCCGAGCAAAGACGTTTCTTTGATTGACGTTAATTCTGACCAATGAGAACACAGATTCAGTGCGGTCCCCGCCTTAATAGGCAGAACGTTAGTAATTTTCAACCAATCCTGCTCTGAAGTATTGTCTTGTGGGTTGTCTTTGACGCCACTGAGGCCGTTGGTGGCTGTTGGACGGCTTTTGCCAGTCGTGGTGCTTTGTGTAGTGGGTTAAAGTCGTTCTTGAGAGGGACGTCTCTGTCCGAAGAGAAAATGAGTTTAGCTCTGAGGTCGGTAATGAGGAGGATGCAATGCTCTCCGTAGTCCGGAGTGGAACCCAGGGGTGGGTGTGTGGCGTGTGCAAAGGCAGTTTGGGGCCGAGGCAAGGATGGGCGGCAGCTTGGGACGAGGCGAGGGGGTGGGACGGAACCTCGGCCAACTGTCCTGGCTTCGGAACTGGTAGGGTGGAAGTCGTTGGTGCCCCGCAGGTGATGAACTCCGTGTTTGAGCTAAAGTGATAATTTCTGGACTGCCAAAGAGGCGGTTGCCAGTGAGAAGAAGGAAATATCGCGAGGTTTCCACTCGGGGGCTCCTACGGGAATTCTGGCCTATTTTCAACGCTTCTTCATTCAATGCCTTGCTCCCAATCTAGGTTCTCATCTTGTCAGTTAAAGTTGCTAATGTAATCACTGATTTACAAATTTTACAAGTAACACAAAACCCTTTGCTCTTCTCCCAGGGATTTGCCTTGCTGGAAAACCTTTTTAGTGACTTTAATGACTTTAATTAGCGATCTCTGTCTTGGAATTCTTTAGTTTCTTGTTTCCGCTTTCAGTTCCAGTCTTAACCTTCTCCGTCTGCCATCGCCCTCCTCTACCATCTATAGACATTTTATCGGAAAAATATCCCTGTAGATGTTAAATGCTGTTGAGTCGTTTCAGATCCATAGCGATCCTGTACAGAATTTCCAAGGAGCTTCTGTTCTTTGCTAATGGGCAGTTGTGATTTTGAGGTTGGTGGGTTGCAGACGTGCCCTTGGTTTTTTGGGACACTACTGCCTGACTCAGGGATTGCCCAAGCTTGTGTGAAGTCAGGTCTATTGGGAAAGAAAAATTTTCCTAAGCTTTATCCTGGTTTCTTTCTAGTCATTCTCCCCCCCCCCCCTTTTTTTTTTGAGACCAAAAAGACCTTCCAGTAAAAAGGAACATGTTCTAATAAACGCAACTAGATTTTACTATTAAAAAAAATATTCTGTAGGATATTTCTGCCTTTCAAAACTTGTTTTTATACTTGTGTTGCAGACCCATTTGAAAATTTGGACCACATTTAAATTGGCGTCTCTTAAGAAAGGCATTTCTGGCTTTTGTAATAAAATTTCCTTTAAGGTTTTCCAGAGTTTGTTATGAGAAACGCAGTGTATGATTTACATGCTAAGTGAAACTAGAAGACTATTGCCACTTCGTATTGTTATTGTTAAGTACTTTGGAGTCACTTGTTGACTTGGTGATCCTGTATAGAATGCCCAAGGAGCAGCTGGTGGGTTTGAACCTCTGGTCTTGTGGTTAGCAGTCCAGTGCTTATCCTACAGCTCTACACTAGCACTCCATTACAGGATTACCACATATTATGTACTTATTTTGGGGTGGTCAGTGGTGGTGGTGGTTGAATGTTTCTGATTCAACATTTTTTAGCTGATTAGTTAATAACAGTGACTGAAATCACAAAGTACCAAACTTTTGTTAGAAGCCATTGAGTCAGTTCCCAGTCACAGCAATAACCCATGTCCAATTGGACTAAAAACTTCCTGATCCTTTACTATCCTCACAGTTATGTTTGAGCTAAAACGTTAGGAAAAATTTGAACCTAAAAGCATTTTGAGCCAACAGTGTCAAAATGCTTTATTAGTGAATTGGTAAATTACATGCTTTAAAATAAATTTTGGTAATAATTTTTAGAACTTATAAGCACTATCACAAGTAAATCAAACACACAGTGATAATGAATTTTCATCAATTATGAATTTTGCTTTCACTTGGAATTTTTAAAAAACACACTACTGTAGCACAGGAGATCCTGGTAACTTCAAATGATAAGCACTGGACTGTAAGCCACAAGGTCTGTGGTTTGAGCTTGCAGGCCACTCAGAGGGAGAAAGATGAGACTAATGAATATTTATAAGCTTTGGAAACCTTATACAGGGTCACTATGAGTGGGAACCAACTTGATGGCACTTAATAGCAACAACATTATAGCAAGATATGAATAAGTTTGCATGCTTTATTGTAGTAATGTTTCTTCAACAGTAATGTTAGTGGGAAATGATACAATGCTGTTGTTAAGTGCTGTGGAGTCAGATCCCACCCATGTTGTTGTGTGCCGTGGAGTCGTTTCTGACTCATAATGACCCTGTACAGGGTTTCTGAGGCTGTAAATCTTTACGGGAGCAGAAAGCCTCATCTTTCTCCCGTGGAACAACTGGTAGTTTCGAACTGCTGACTGTGAGGTTTGCAGCCCGATACGTAACCACTATGCTACCAGAGCTCCTTTATAGGATTTCTAAACTGACTTTGTGGTTGAGTGCTTATCCTCCAGTGTCACACCAGGGCTCCAAGTTCCATCAAGTTGGTTTTGACTAATAGTGACCCATTATAGGATTTCCAGTGAAAGGCTGGTAAATTTGCATTTCTGACCAGTGCTTATCCTATAGCACCACGTCAGTAGTCAGTACTTCAATAAAACGTTAGGACAGGAACTAGATCTCATTTCTTTTAAAAACCTATAACATGCTTCAGTTTGGGGAAGGGGTAAATTTATAGAAGCGTAGACTATGGAATGAACCAGGGTATTGACTCATGTACTTCCTTTTTAGAAAATCATTCAGGGTAATTTTTTTTGGTACATTTCTGCAGTCTAATTTTAATCAGAAAAATAATGAGAATGGGATTAGAGTGGACTAAAGACACTTTTCCTTCCATTTCATAGAAATGAGCTTGTAGTAGACAAAACAAAAAGGAAAAAAAGAAGAGAACTCTCTGAGGAACAGAAGCAAGAAATTAAAGATGCTTTTGAACTATTTGATACTGACAAAGATGATGCAATAGATTATCACGAGTTGAAGGTAATAGTATACTGGATATGTTTCTCTTTTATAAAGATTTCCATTATTGGTAGTTGTTTAAAAATACATTTCTAAATATTTTTACTAAATGATTTTGAAAATATGAAGCCATTTTAGGCATTCACAGTAAAGTGCTATAACAAATTTGCATACTGCCCATTACATATCTTTTAGAAAATCATTTTCAGATCGTAAAGTGAGTTTTAATAGTATTTTAAGTAGTAGTTGAAGCATATAGATGTTCCTATGGAAAGTATTATTCATTCATGTAATTAACATTTCAGATTATGGGATTTAAGCAGTCCATAAAATACTCATGCCTTTCTCCCCCTCCTCCACTCCAGAGTGTTATTTTTAAAATTTTAGCATGTTAATAGCAAGGTTCCAGCCTATTCCCTCTGATGCAAACAACAAAAGTGATATCTGATATTGATGTGTAATATTAATGAGGGAAATGTCAATTTTAAGGCCTAGAATTATTTATAAGAGGAAATTGAATTTTGTTAAAATTGTGGTATATATATGATATTTCAATAATCTTTACATATACAGTTCAGTAACATTTTCATCATATTGCTTAACCATCATTTTTGTTCCCAAATCATAGAGAATGGGAATTTTTGAGGCAATTCAGTCAGTCTTTATAGATGTTATGCTATGTTATGTACCGTGGAGTCGGTTCTGAGGCTGTAAATCTTTACGGGAGCAGAAAGCCTCAGCTTTCTCCCGTGGAACAGCTGGTAGTTTCGAACTGCTGACCTTGAGGTTAGCAACCCGATTCGTAACCACTATGCTACCAGAGCTCCTTCCTTTATAGATAGGTGAATATAAATGTTTATTTGGTAGTTTTAATTTTGAAAGGGATTTTTTTTAACATAAGAATTAAGTAAGGGAAAGAACTAAGCAGTGACCAGATAGGATGTATAAAAGCAATAAAAGTTTGACTTTCTCAATCTTGAGATCCTTTTTAACTCTCTTCCCACAGTTTCTTTTAGTTACTTTATCCTTGCTATCAGGAGAAAGGTGAGGCTTTCTGCTCCTGTAAAGATCTATAGCCTTGGAAAAGCTAGACAGGGTCGCCATAGTTGGAACTGAGTCCACAGCATACAAGCACCACCACCACTGCCCTTGCTGTTACTACCTGGAGCTTACTAAATAGTTTCTCCACTTCTAGTTTATCGCGTATATTACCGTTAGTTCTGTCTTTCTGAAATTCTTTATCCATATTCACATTCAGTGCACACTGCATAAAGCTCATGCTCCTTTGCTTTCTCTTGAATAGTCCCTACAGTTTTACTATGATCTATTTTTCTTAGTTTCTAACTGCTTTGTCTTCTGCCTGAATTCTTCCCATTCAGGTCAAGTAAGTTGCTGTTTATTGCTGTGGTGTCTTTGCTTTGGTGTCTGCTTTAATACCAGTCATCCTTTTCTAAATGTTGTTTTACCCCTCTTCTTGCCATCTGGGAACAACGAAATCTTTCTAAACAAACATGTCTCTCCTTTCTGCTAGTAACAAAATAACTGTTTCCTCTAAATTCAGGATAGTGGACTACTAACTTGATAGCTAGCTATGAGGATCTGAGAGTAATTCTCATTTAATGTGTTTATTTTCTGTTGTGTAATTTAAAAATATTTACACGGTCTTTTTCTTATTTTGGTGGATAATTCCTTGAGAACAATAGCTAAAATTATTTGTATACTAGACTAAGCCAGGGAATTGAATAGTTGATTGGTTTGTTATAATAAACAAATGACAGAACATTTCCATTAGAATTTTGTTAGTGAAAAACAATTGCAGTCACTGTATTTTGCTTTTTTGTGACACAAACCATGCAAAGAGTTGTATTTTTTATAAGTGTGATGGCTCTTAAGATGTAACAACTTATCTAAGGTTTAGAAATAATTTCTTTTGTAAAGAGTGCTTTTTAATTTGTTTTTCCTTTTTAATCCAAAAGGTGGCAATGAGAGCCTTGGGGTTTGATGTGAAAAAAGCTGATGTACTGAAGATTCTCAAAGATTATGACAGAGAAGCCACAGGGAAAATCACCTTTGAGGATTTTAATGAAGTTGGTGTGTATCTTAATATTGTTTATAATCAACAGTTAGGAAGTTATCTGGTTAATATCAGTATTTTGTATTTTTTAATTCTCTAGGTTAAGGAATTTTGTTCTAGAACATTGCTTTATATGTGGTGCTGGTTCAGATATTTGTATATGGTTATTCTTTTTCCTGATTTTTTAAGAAAAAATAAGACTTAGAGCTTTGCTATGTTATTTATACTTTTGTCCTCAAGCTTCTAACCAAGGAATTATTTTGTAGTTTGTTATGGAAAGATGTCTTTGCAAATAATATGTCTTTATATTATAAAACAAACAGTTGGGTGATTAAAAAAAAAAAAATCCTTTAGTAAAATCGAAAATTTTGTATTGTATTGTTTTAAAAATATTCCACCAAACCTTTATGTTATATCATTTTTTTTTGTTTGCAAAGTGAGCCAAGAAGAAACTGCTAGCAGTTGGTATCTCTGACAATAAATGAGGCTTGTGCGTTCAGGCTGACAGTTTATGAGGGGTACCATCTCTGGATGTCCTTGATCTCTGTATACGGAAATTTGTTTATAGACGTGGAATGAGGGGAGAGAATTGTAGAATTCTGTCTGACTAGAAGCAGGAGATAATATTTTATAATAACCAATTAAAAAGTGATATAACATTGGTTTAGAAAACTAGATAGCTTTAATATGTTGGAATATTTATATATTTAAATTTAATGAATTATTTCTTAGAAGAGGATTCTGAAAGGCAAGGACTTTCTCTTTTAAATTTATTTCTTAGAGTACTATACACAGAATGTATACATATTTACATGTATTTTACTGAGTTTTCTACACCAATGTCATATCACTTTATATAAGCCACTGTATAAGCATATCATATGGTTGTTATTATTAGATATATTTGAGAAAATCAGGGACAAATTGAATTATACAAACATTTCCCTTGTTTGAAATATTCAGTAAGTGGCAGTAAGTAAGGGAGAGAGCTAAAATAAAAAGATGATAGTTAATAGGAAAAATATTAGATTCATATCATTAGTAATTTTTTTTTAATTCACACATAAAGGGGGTGAGTAGTCAGTAATGTAAGGAATAAACCTAAAAGAAGAAAGAAACCATAGCACAGAAAATTCCCAATTTATGAACTAAGAGATACTGTTTAAAGAGGCAAATTGACATTTTTGGGGAGTAGGATAAGCACTGCTGCTAACTACATGGTCAGTGGTTCAAACCCACCAACCGCTCCTTGTGAACTTTATACACACTCGCTATGAGTCGAGTCCTACTTGGTAGCACTTAACAAAAACAATTCTTTTTGCCTTCTAATTTTAGGATTATTTACTTAAGAGAGAACCACTTTAATTCTTCCATTGTGGAAGCTCTCCGAGGATTTATAAATATACTATTCCAAGTTTCAACTTAGATTGTTTTCTTATAGAAATAAGGTGTTAGAATTTAGTGGAAATGGTACTATTAGTCTAGGGCTGCAATTCAGGTGTAATTAGCATGTTGTTCTTATTGTTTAGTGCCATAGAGTCATTTCTGACTCATAGCGACCCAGTATAGGGTTTACAAGGAGCAACTGGTGAGTTTGAACTACTAACCTTGTGATTCAAGCTGACCTTGCGGTCTTGTGCTTATTCAAAATCGCTACACTTGGACTCCACTATTCGCATGGCTTACTTTGGAGCTAAATTGCTTGGATTTATCACTTATTAGCTGTGTAACCTGGTTATTTACTTTTCTATGCCTCATTTTCCTCCACTATGAAATGGAAATAGTTATACTAGCCCATATGGTTCTTGTGAGGATTAAATAAATTAATAATATTTAAAGTGCTTAGAAAAGGACCTACCTTGGACATAGTAAGTGCTGTTTACTCTTAGTATCACTTTAAAAATTAGTCTTGTTTCATTTTTTTAAGAAAGCCTGGAAAGCATTTGTATCACTGGGCATAAAATATATTCTTCTTTGAATATTTCTATTTTTATGATTTTTAAAAATAGTTTCAGGCTGTTTTAAGTACTATCTCATAATTACTATTTTTAGCAGACATATAATTTTAAGAGAATATAATTTTTAAATTATGGTTTTTGAGATTGTTGAGACCAAAGTTCTATGCCACCTCTACCTTTTCCTGTAACCCATCTTTGCTGTTAGTAATACAGCAGAAATTCTGGGTTCTTTTAGAGTAAACGGCCATAGCTAAATTTCACTCCTATTCAAAGATCAATCTTTTGACAGGCTCCCCACATACTTTTGCTGTTTTAAGCCTACTTGTTGAGAATAACAATTTTAAATAAAATTATATTACAGATTGGAAATAAAACAGTCAAAAGTATCTGTTTTCCCCATTTGCTAATTATTTTGAATAATAACAGACCGCAGTTGAATATATGTTTCATACTTGGGCACGAGTGATTCCAGATAAAAATTTTGGCCTTTAGTTTTATGTACTAATTATTACTCTTTTACTAACCTAAAGGTTGGCATGTTGGTTGGTTCTATAGGATAAGCACTGAACTACAAGGTTGGCAGTTCAAACTCACCAGCTGTTCTTTGGAAACCCTACACAGTGTCATTATGAGTTGGTCCAAATGTTTTGAATAACCTCTTAGTAACTTGTAAGTTAATTCTTCCATCCTCCCTCATTCCGCAAAGTACCTAGCAACAAAAAGTCCAGTAAATGCTTCTTAAATAAGCAAAACTTCAGCAAATATCTGGTAAATAAGCAAAATCAAAATACAAAAGTCTATTCTAAGTAGGCAATCAAATATTTTTGTTTTTGTGGAGGTGTGTCCTCCAGTCAATTCCTATTTGTATAGGTTAGGATAGGAATAGGTCATGAAAGCATGAACGTTAATACCGGTGGGTGTAGCATTGTAGGATAAGCATTGGATAAGTTAACTATAAGGTTAGTGGTTCAAACTCACCAACAGCTCCTTGGAAACCCTATACAACTTGCTTTGAGTAGGAACGGACTTCACACTTAACAACAACAACAACAACGTTTTAACAGTCCAGATTTAAAGGAGCTCTGGTAGCGTAGTGGTTACGAATTGGGCTGTGAACATCAAGGTCAGCAGTTCGAAATTACCAGCTGTTCCACGGAAGAAAGATGAGGCTTTCTGCTCCCGTAAAGATTTACAGCCTTGGAAACCCTGTACAGGGTCGCTATGAGTCAGAATCGACTCCACGGCACATAACAACAACAACAATAGATCCCAAGAAATTTTAAGGCAAAGAATATTGATCAAAAGTTACACAGACATAGTCTGAAATAACTAGCACAATTGAAGCTCCAGTGGGATAAAAATTTTTACATCTCGGAGCCCCATCTGTTCTCCAGATCATCCTGTTGCTTCTTTAAGTACATTAATACTTTCAGCAAGCTGCTTTTTTGGTTCACCTGTCGTGTAAATTATTTAATTGGTGAAGAAAATTTCTTAACACTTTTTTTCCTTGTCCTGTTTTTTGTTGGGACTAAATTCAAAATAAGTTGAGTATGAGCCACAGAGTCAAGTGTGGTATTTTATTTTGGTTTTATGGCTGTATTTATGCCAACTCCCTTTTGACTGAATATTTATGAGTCTTCATGATTTGCATACTTATAGTAATATACTTCAATTAGCTACTTGGAAGACTTTTTGGATAAATTAATGAATAAAAGAAAGCTATTGAATACATGTATAGATAATACAGACGGAGTCCTAGTGTGGCGCTGTGGGTTAATGTGTTGGACTGCAAGGTTGGTTTGAACCACGGGTTGATGGTTCAAGCTCACCAGAGGCTCCTCAGAAACCTTATTACAGGGTCACTATGAGTTGGAACTTACTTGATGATACTTAACTAATAGATGGGATAACGTAAGCTTGAGTAGATGCTATTTCAACCAAATAATATCTAATAATACTTTAATATCTTAGTATATTAAACTATTGCTATTGAGGTCTGAAATTATTAGTGTTTATTTTAGCTAGCTACCTGAGAGTTATCCTGCAGAACAAAATGAATATAACTTTAGTGCGACTTCCTTCCTGGAGCTTTTTTTGACTTCCGTACTACAGTCAGATGCAATCCCTTTTAACTGGTTTTGATAGATTCTTCTCACCATTAGCATGAAAGTATCAATGGGATTTTCATTTACTGCCTGAGATAATGCCTGTAGCAAGGATGTCATTGTACTTTGTCAGTTTTATTTTGTTAGATTAGCTTTGAGGAGTATAAATTTAGCCAGCAATTAGTTTTTATCGTTACTTCTAATTTTGTGGGTGTATCATGTCTACAACTAGGTTACAAACACCTAGACATATGCTGGATGTCAGTGGAGCATGGTTCAATTCTTAATAAAGTAAACTTTATGGTGTGTGTGTGTGTATATCTATGTGAATGTGTATAACTATATATATATATATATATATATATAGTTATACACATTCACTTTTACTCAGTGAATAGATATATACACACACACACACACATACATATGAAGTGACTTCAGAAAGTTCATAGAAAAATGGAATTAAAAGATAGTGGACTGTTTCCACAAACTTTTTGAAGCCCCTTCATACCACAGAGAGATACTTAGACGCACATGTAAAACTTTTTTGACTTTGTAATAGGAGTAGTTTTCCGTATTCTTATTGTTGTTGTTGTTAAGTGCCATCACATCAGTTCCAGCTCATAGTGACTCTTGTGGTTGAGTCCTTACCCTACAATGTCACACCAGGACTCCTTTTATATATAAAAAAGGATTAATGTAAAGGCCAAAGTTTTTAAATTTGTTTTGAGTCTTTTTGGTTTCAGGATTGTCTGTGGGTTTTTAGGCTCCAATTTGTCATTTTGTTATCAGATTGAATGTTGAAGATTCACAACTTTAAATGTCATTGAATGTTTAGTTGATTTCACAGATGAATATCTTTGTGATTGTGTAGGTTTTTCTTTTTCTGTTCTTTTTCTCTTTTGCTATAGTGACAGACTGGATATTGGAAAGAGATCCACATGAGGAAATACTGAAGGCATTTAAACTTTTTGATGATGATGATTCAGGTAAAATAAGCCTGAGGAATTTGCGACGTGTTGCTCGAGAATTGGGTGAAAACATGAGTGATGAAGAACTTCGTGCTATGATAGAAGAATTTGATAAAGATGGTGATGGAGAAAGTAAGTTTTACATAAAAATCTATTCTCAAAGTATGTCTGATGCTGCACATATTACACATATAGTAAGATTTTCTAAAAACAAATGATTTTTTCAAGATCCTTTGCAAACTATCCCTTTTACTCAGTGTTGTTGTTTATCCTGTAATGGGCTTTTTGCATTAAGGTTTGCATGAATTCAATTTAGAATGATGGAGATCTTTAAAACCAGCTGTACAGATTGTAATAGGAGGTTTCACACTTGAAAAAGATGTTTACTTAACTCTGAAGGTAAAACAGCACCAAAATTTTACTCACTCCGAGTAAAACTTCAGTCTTTAATGTCTTATTTTCCCTCAATTTAAATGTATTTCTAGACTGTTACTAAATTTTGTTGATTCTACCTGTCAAATGTCTTGAATTTGTTTCATTTAATTGTTCACTGCTTCTCTCTGATTTCTTGTTAGAAATGTTGTAATACCCTCATTTATTCTTTTCTTGGGTGCCTACCATCATATACTATATATTGACCAGTGCTACAATAGCACAAAAAGGTTGCTGTGGTTCTTGCACTCATGGGATTTACAGTCCAGTAATAATTGTCTTATTTGTGCATGAAGTCCTGGTGTGGCACTATAGGATAAGCACAGAACCACAAGGTCGGTTTGAATCACAAGGTCGACGTTTCAAACTCACCAGCCACTCCTCAGAAACCCTAAACAGGTTCCCTGTGAGTCAGACCCGACCCGACAGCACTTAACAACAGCAATAATTTGTGCCTATAAGTCACTAATCTCTTCATTTTACTAATAGCGTTTTTTCCTCTAAAATACAGGGATGATGAGGTTAATTCCCTCTTCAAACACTTCACTGTCTACCTAGTAAAGCTCAGAGCCTGTGGTGTCTCCTATCTTGAGTATATATGTATTTTTTCTCACTGCATTCTTTCACTTTTCGACTTTAACTCTTAGCCTCTATATGTATACATGTTGGCAAAGCAATCTTTAAACATTTTTAATGCTGTTAAATGCCATTATTATTAATGATTTTTGTGGGCTAAAATGTTAGTCATTCTTCTAGGTGCATTTTTCCACAGAAGTCTTTGCCGCAGGTCTCTGTTGGTATGATTATGACACGTCCATTGAGGGCCCAGAGTATTTAGAAGAACAAACTTGATGCCTTTATGCTCTGCCTTCTGTTACATATGTGTCTATCTTCATTTGTATTGTAAGCCTCTTAAAAGCTATACGGAATCGTATAGTAGGAAAGGACAGTATAGCAATATAGAAAGGCTTGAGGCTCTGGAACTGTATATACCTGCCTGGCTTTGAATTGACTCTATTATTTCTTTAATTGCTGTGTTATTTTGAGTAAGTTTTTAACTCTTTAAGTCTCCATTTCCCCCTTTGTAAATATTGGGGTAGTGACTGTGGAGTTAAAATATCGAACAAGATATAATTAAAGCTATGGCAATGAATTAAAAAGAATGCTCCTCACCATTTGTGCTTCCACACCCCCACCCCCAACTAGTTATATAAAATACAACATTGTAAATCTTTGTGGAAAAATTAAGGCAACATTTAAAAAGCCAAAATCTTTTAAATAATGTTGATGATGACAGTTAATAATAATTTAGCAATTACTGTATGTTAGATGCTGTGCTTAGCATGCTCCAGTGTGGATTATGTTAGTTAATTTTCATTATACCCTTGGTGAAGTGTATATTAGTGGTTGTGATGGTGTGCCATGGAGTCCTTTCTAACTGAAAGCCACCCTAATAGGGTTTCTGAGGCTGTAAATCTTTATGGAAATAGAAAGCCTCATCTTTTTCCCCACAGAATGGTTGGTAGTTTTGAACTACTGGTCTTGAGTTTGCAGCCCAACTTGTAACCACTACGCTACCAGAGCTCCTTTTGTTGAAATGTATACGTTGTATTTATATATGCATGGAATAGATAGATGCATTTATAGATGAAGAAACTAAAACTATGAGAGATTAATAAATTGAGGTTAATTAATCTCTCATAGTTTGAAGGGGCTTCAGAAAGTTTCTGGAAAAAAATAAAATGAAAAGATAATGAAATTTTTCCATGAACTTTGAGAAGTCCCTCATATATGGCAGAGCTAGAACTCAAATTTAGGTTGTTAGGTGCCATCTAGGGGGTTCCGACACATAGTGACCTTATATAGGGTTCCTGAGGAGCAGCTGGTGTGTTTGAACTGTCAACCTTGTGGGTGAAGTCCGGTGCTGATCCTACAGCGCCACACTGTGTTTGTGTGTGTGTGTATACACACATATATATAATGTCTGTTTTCAACCATACCATTGTGGTGCCGTAGGATAAGAATTCAACCTCATGGTTTGTTTGCACCTCAAGGTTGGTGGTTCAAACTCACCAGCCACTCCTTGGAAATGCTGTACAGGGTCGCTGTGAGTCAGAATGGACTTGATAGCCTGTAACAATAACAACATTGTACTGCCTCTTAGGTTATAAAGTAAAATATTAATTAGGTTTCTATCTCTATGGATTTAAAAAAATGTAAATGCTATTATAAGAAGCAATGTGTTAGCAAAAGATTCAACTGGCACTTCAGATGCTGAAATTTGTTTCCTCCCCTCTGAAACCAGATGGTGTCTAAGGTACTTAATCTACTTAGTTCTCTAAATTTCTTTATTTTTATGAAATGGTTGATTTATGTAAATTTTGTTATAGAAGGCAATGTAGAAGAAAATGAAGTGTCATTTATTTGATTCAATAAGTATTTTATTCCTAGGAACTAAACAATATAGGGACTGATGGTAGAGAAGAAATCCTGGTGCGGCGCTGTGGGTTAATGTGCTGAACTGCAAAATCAGTTTGAACCGCAGGGTCAGCAGTTCAAGCTTACCAGCTGCTCTTCAGAAATCCTATACAGGGTCGCCGTGGGTTGGAACTGACTCAACGGCACTTAACAACAGCAACCACCACAATGATAAAGTTATAAAACTGAAAGTACAAAGTTACTGCTGTTTGTTGCTGTCTATTTGGTTCGGACTTAGTGATTCTCTGTAATGGTTTTGAGGCTGTGAATCTGTTGGAGCAGAAAGTCTTAGCTTTTTCTCACAGAGTGGCTCGTGGGCTGCAACTGCCGACCTTGTGGGTCACACTAGAACCAATGCCCTGTGAGCACAAAGGCATTACAGTGACTTCTTTTGATTGTCTGAGGGCTTTCTGATAGTAAAAGAGCTACCTTAATTTACTCAGCTGCTTTTCTTCCTTCTATTTTCATTTTCTGAGCCTAAGAATTCTGTTTGTAGATATTAAATTATTAAATAGTTAAAAAAATTTTTTTTGGCACTGTAGGATAAGCACTGGACTGTGAACCACAAGATCAGCAGTTCAAATCCACTAGCTGCTCTTTGGAAACCCTATACAGTGCCATTATGAGTTGGAACTGACTCATTGGCACTAAACAACAACAACATTAGAGTTTAAAGCATAAATTTATATATGTGTGGCTCTTTAGGATAAGCACTGAACTGCTAATCATAAGGTTGGAGGTTCAAACCTTGCAGCTGCTCCTTGGTGACCCTGTACAGGAGCGCTATGACTTGGTACTGATTATAGAGTAAATAAAATACAGCAACACAAACACAGATACAGCACTAATGTTTCAGTTGTTTTAGAACTTCCATAAGAAGCATCATTTGAAATTCGTGTATTAAACTTTTACAAATTGAAGGAAAACAGGTTTAGATCTCTTAACAAGCATAGTACTTTTCAGATTTCACTTATTTTATTTAATGACTTTCTTTTAAGATGATTTATGGTCAGTTTATAAGGCTGCTTTGCTCTTTTTCTTAAGCCCATACTCTTGTTTCCTGTTTTGGTGTGATGCTTTAGTCTAGATCAGGGGTTCTTACAATAGTGTCTAGGTGGTTTAAATTGTTTAAAATTTTTGCCTTTTTGAATTTATTTTTTTTCTGTAAAGGACCCCTAATTTTCATAAAATATTAAAATATGTCTACTTAACTACAAAGAATCAGTACTCTGATTTGTAAGATCCTTGGAAGTAGTTTTAGAGTATTAGAAGTTATGTATTCTGTTCTCACTGTATCTTTCATAGTGCCTTGTTGTTAAGTGCTGTTGAGTCGGTTGCTACTCATAGCAACCCTGTCTAGGATTTCTGAGGAGCAAACTGGTTACGTTTGAGCTGCTGACCTTGTGGTTAGCACTTCAGTGCTTATCTTAAAGCACCATACCAGGACTCTTCATAGTGGCTGGTAGATGTTTAATATCAACTGTGTAGATTCATGGCTCTTTATCAGCTTCTGGACAGCTTATTATTTTTATCTCCTTCAACCTGATTTTTCCAGGCACTGCACTTTACTGTATTTTTTTCTTTAACTGTGTCCCTATTGGTATTCTTCCAATAAAACTCTTTTCAACTCCTGCCAAATCAAATCCTTTATTTTTTATTTTGAGCCCAAGTAAAGATTTTACTTAAACTTTACTGATCAATAATGATTTCCCCCATTATGAACTTTTTTTTTTCAATTCTCATATGTGGGCTTTATTTGATTAATAGTGTCTGGGTTATACAGTAGATTATCTATTTCATATATAAAACATGACTAACATAATTACTGAAACCTTTTCAATGTGGCTTCTAAAACTGATATTTTTAAAAATTCCTTATGTGTGTTTATCTTTTCACTATTTATAAATTGGAGTCCTGATGTAGCGCTGTGGGTTAATGCTCTTGAACTGCAAAGTTGGTTTGAACGGCAAAGTCGGTGGTTCAAGCTTACCAGCCACTCCTTGGAAAGCCTGTACAGGGTTACTATAGTTTGGAACCAACTCAGTGGCACTTAACAATAACAACATTTATAAATTGGTTTACTTTTTCTAGCTTTTCATTATGAATATCTTAAGCAGAAGAATTGTTAGACTATTATAATGAACACCATTGTACTTTGTA